ATTCACTATTATTTTATGATATTTTTTATGTATACAATATGCCAATAACCTGAAGTTTTGTTGAATAAATTGAACTTGAAATGATTTGAAAATATACGACCTACTCTCCTTTTTCGTTATTGTTGAATAAATTGAATTGAAAAAGATCTATCTGAGACAAGCACCTATTAAAGACCACCGTCAATTACTGTCTCTACCTCCAATAAAAGCATCGGTATGATAACATGTTTATTCATATCTATACCAATATCATCAATTGCTCCACTGTGATCTAGAACAATTGAATTTAAAACACTAAACATTGACGTAGTTACAATACCAATAAATTTACTCTGTAGCGATTTGTGACTTCAGTCGTAAATGAATGAAGCGCCCTCTGTAGACAACAGTATTCCTAAACTATTACTATATTATGGTATGGTATTATGGTTATTTATGGTTCGTTTGAATAAACTTACGTAATAAAATAAACATTTATCTTGATAAATAAGTATACGATAACGAGTTTATTGATCGCCTCCTGTACATTGACCTCATATTTTTGTTCTAATATAGTTTGTAAAGCGTATAAATACATTACATACGGTATACAGTATTATGAATTAGATATAGTTAATATATAAGAGTTATATTTAACAATTACTACTAAAGAGCTATATTATTAGATTATTTAAAAAAATTAAATAATGTAGTATATTATGTTGGTTATATAGTATGGACAAGTGCAGTTCCATCAGTATTTGTTAAAGCTCACTTGTAGTCCGTCACCCCTATCTCAGCTGTTGCATCGTCCCAGTGGTGTTTTACCTAAGAGGGAAGCACCCTCCAGAAAACAGGTATTTTTTCTTAAAGTTCCCCTTAACTGTCAACTTGCTAAGCAAAAAAAAAAATACACTCACTTAGATAAAGTATTCTCAAATCGCCTCATTACCTCATCGAGCACCCATTCACTTTTCCATCGCCACCCCTCACAGCAACCCTCCATGTCAATTGTCCTATACGCAACTAGTCACCCTGATACAAACCACTTCACGGCAGCTAGCAGATTCCGAACCAACCCTGTCCTAAATAAATAACATTGTCGTGGAATCTTCATGTAAGAGCCGAAGGTGGGCTCATGACGCTTGAGTTAACCAATGAACCGGTAACATCTCAGTCAAATCACACACACACACACACCGGCACACAATCTAGAAAAGAAGATTCTAACATCTTCAAGCAATGCATCTTTACTTAATAATATTCATATTTTGTGTGTTTTGTGGTTCAAATGTCAATGCCCTGAATGCAACATTAAGGAATACTCCCCGAGGGAGCTGAGTGTGTGTTCCATAGGTGTTTGATCAAATTACAGGGGGTAATAATGCTATGCACACAGAGGCCTTGGCAGATGATGCACTACAATACAGTAAGTGCAACATATCAATTATTATCATTATATTGTATAATACTACACTATTGTTGTATATTATAATTCGTTTATCAATGGTACTGCAGGTTTATAGTAATTTGATCAAATCTGGTAATTAATTAATTGATGTACAGAATTATATTAAAATATATTGTTGTGTACTGTATTATAATTCGTCGAGGCTGATGACGTTTAATCGGCGAACCCACAGACTTAAAATAATTTGAAAGAAGCTGATAATGAAATAGTTTATGTCTGGGGTAATAATGAAAAAAAAATAGTTTATGCATCTAATTGACCCTTCCGTCAAGTCCCGCCCTTGGATATTGTTGTTAAGGTCCCACACAACGACTGTGTTGAAGCGTACGAAAAGACGTGCGTTTTGTGGGACAACGCGTGTGCTTGCTAGACACGCGCGCATTCCTGGCCCTGTTATGATTGGTCAGTTGTTAAGTTCGATTGCCTCTCTGGAAAGGTCCATTCGATTGTTTCGTTGAGGATGATGGCCTACGGCTTGGTGTGACAACGTTCTGGTTTTTGTTTTTGATTTTTTTTTTTTTTTTTTTTTTTTTTTTTTTTACGAATAACAATTGAAATCTTGTTATAAATAAATAAACATCATACAAATTGATCTAAACAAATTGAACCATTTATTCAATACGGTACGGATTATAGCAAATGAATAATCACTTCTTGATATTTTTTTCTCGCTCAATGCAACATTCATCATCATACGTTTTGTTAGGAAATTTTACTTTGGCATCATAGGCGAATGTTGTCACTGTGACCAGCGTACTTCAATCATACAATGTATAAACACATACGCATCTATATACATACTTTACGATATAATAATTATGTTGATTATGTCAATAGAATTAATCGATACAATAAAGTATATATATATTATATTATTTTATGTTCGCTACAATAATTACAATATATATAATATGTTATATATATACTACATTGTGTCGATTATAATCAATATAATATATAAACAACCTCTACATTAACAAAAGAAATATTAAAATACAATGTTTAACTTGAGGTAGATGTAAACATATAACCCAAAGTTTTAAACGTTTTAAACTCTACATTAAAATATTCTGCAACACGTATAAAAAGTATATAAAGACAACATACGTAATACATTATTTGGTCTGGGAAACCAAAAATATCTACCTGTATATAGGTATGTAGTATAATTTATTATCATATAATACATTTAAGGAAACCATAATTAATAACTTAGGCTATAATTACCGAACATGGTGTATCAATTGTTTCCATAAGCATTTATACTGCTGCGTATATATAGACCTATATACGGTCGGTATATAGTAAGTGAGTGCAGTTATACAAAGTAGAATCTTGCACGTTAACATTAATAAACATGTTTGATCAATCAATATTCGATTAAATAAATGTTATGTCTATATTATAATTCTATTCTGTATAACTGCACTTATTTTATATTATCAAGACATACTTGAATCCAGCAGTTATATAGGTCTATATAATCTCTACACACACACGCATATAATATATATAGGCATATATATATATATATATGCCTATATATATTCATAAATCCTCAAAGAAAGGTAAAATGTGATAAAAAAATATATATCATTAAGCTATTTATTCGGTCATATTTGACCGTTCAAAATTCTGACATGAAACATTTTTAATTTGAAGGTAGTATAGGCCTTGTATGCGAAAAATTTGCCTCTATTTTCGATAAGAATTATATTGAAATCTAATATGGTAAAATAATAAAGTTAACATATTCAATTATTAATAAGGCATTTTCATTTTTTTTTTAATGATTGTAACCTCTGTATGTCAAAAATAGTGGTTCAATATTGCTATTAAAATTTTACGTTATATTTTTAAATTCTTCAAACAGATGAACACAGTATAAAGCAAATATATTAAATATTGATGATGTGGCACTTCGTTTCTTAGCAGCAGCCTATCATTAAGGTCATCGACCCATATGTCAAGAATCTTTTCAACCATTTACAAGAGAATAGAAGTTTCAACTACTGTGTCACTTTACTGTGAAATTGCCCACTATACACACTCATATAGACCTAATATGTAATCAAATGCTAGGCATGATGTATGGTTCTACATACTTAAATGAAATTTAAACCACCATGTTGGAATGCTGAATATATATATATAAATATATGTAACATTGTAAACGATATTAAATATAAGGCATTACATATTATATAGGCCTATGCAACATTTGTATATAGGCTTTTATATATATGTAGTTCTATATATATAAATATTCGTATATGTTATATATACACAATATATCAAACGTGAACATGGTAAGCCACAAGTATAGACAGTGTTGCTATAACTTCTAGCCTACTTATTCATACACACACACACGTATATATATATAATATATATATATACGGTATATATAATATTCATATATACGGAATGAAAATACCTGTGGCCTACAAAAAATGTTTACATTATATTTTATATTTACCGTATGTTTTTACCTTAATTTATAATTTAGTTTACCAACATTTCAATAACACAGGTGCAACCAATATTATAAAATGTTATAAGGTATTAGGGCTATATTGTTTATATCACGATCATGGCATAGATGATCAACATCACATCACCTTTATTTCATCAAATTTCTTACATATTATTCATTTAAAAATATTATCAAGTTTCCATAAAAAAGTGTCTCTCCTTTGTTCTCGCAAAAGAACCTATTATCTTTGGCTATGATAAAATCGAATCTAGTTAGAGTTAAGAAATCAATTTAAAATGTATTTTTTTACAATTGTTATATGAGAATGAAATCATAATTTGTTTGTCAAAATGTATGATTGATGATATACTTGATAGAAATCCTTGACTGACATTTGCACTGAATACAGTAAACGTCTTGCATTCAACTTGTTTTCATGGACCATTTGTTCCGTGTCTCTCACCAATTGTCTTCGATGAATTCGCATTGATGCATTTACGCGGAAATGGTAAACACTAACTTACAATTGACAGAAATTTGTCTCCATGTCAATCGGCTTTAACGCCCCAGTTCACGGTTTGCATGTTATGTTATGAATTTAAACAATGAAAACTTATAAAACTCATCAGCTCATCAGAGCAATGTTGGCGCTAGCAGCGCTTAACATAATAAATTATTATTAAAACAAATTATGACGCGTGTTATAATTTTTGCATTAAAGAGGTTTTAAATTGATTATCTTCTTATTTATGAAACAATTGAACCGGAGACCTAAGGACAAAAAGGTCAACCTTAATATATTCACCTTGATATCAAGAATGTTATGTGGAAACAATAGACCTATTATCAAAATCTTTTATTGAAAACATTCACCTATTTAAATATTGAGAACATATAGTATGTGGTTGTTCACATACGTTTTCTATTCTAATCTGTATCTAAACACAATTAAGTTGAATTTAATTTTGATTATATATATATATATATGGTAAATATATAGGCATGTATATAGGCCTATATATAAATATATAAATATATAAATATAGATATGTATATATAGGCCTATATATATATATATATATATATATATATATATATGAAATATACTGTAAACGTAAAAAGTCAAGAAAATCAACATTAAAGAACAGTACATTTATATCAAAAAAGTTTGGAAACTGGATATAATAACCTATATGGTACGTTATATAACAGATCCTATACTGTAAATGTATAGTCCTATATATATAATTTTACGAGATCAGTGTAAACGTCAAAATAAATTTGGTACACAATGGGCTTAGTCAAAAGGCTTAAAGAGTTCAGATTGTTTTCGAAAAAAAAAATCAATAAAGGACATTATCGATATCATTTTGCATTTTCCAAAAACAGTAAATCTATCGAAAACGCGTTTATGTCGAATATCTTTGGCTTTTCCGTTACTTTGTTGCCCTTCAGAATATTGTATTTGTTTGCGAGAAGTTATCAGACATTCACGCTCAGTCTTACATTTTCAAGTTGTATTTTGAACTTAACTCGGAAAACAGATTATTCATCACAAAAGGTCAAGCGAGATCCTCAACGGAATAATATATTCATCAATTTTTCCTCCTTTCGACCAATCCTTGAGAAAATATCCTATATTTCTTGGCGTCAGAATTCCAATTACGAGTTATAAATTACGGTATGGATTGTTGGTTTTGATCCCTTTGTTTGCGATCGCCGTCTTCTCTTGATCGCATTTTCTTCAGTTTCATTCGTCTGTTCTGAAACCAAATTTTCACCTGCCGCTCCGATAGGTTTAGAGCCCTTGAAATGTGTGATCGTCTCTCCCTTGTCAGATACATATTGTACAGAAACTCCTTCTCCAACTCAAACGTCTGGTATTTGGTGTATGGCTTCCTCTTTTTGCGTGTGCGTATTGTTGTAGACGGACTCATCCAGTTGTAGCCACTAGCATTAGCAGAGCTATCTGTAACGTTGAAAACAATGAATACTTATTAAGTAATGTTTATAGCCATCTTTATGATCATAAAAAATGACATTACCAGTGATTTATTCTGTATTGATGACCTAAATGATAGAGCCAGCCTTGAAGGATGTAATAAAATAGTAATAGACTATTAACAACATGTTTATAATGCAATTGCTTTATAAATATGAAATATTTACTAAATATAGGCTTAAATTTCAATACAGTATCAATATCTTTACACAATTAATTTTATAAAATTCAAAGTGTAGACACTCAACAACAAAAAAAAACTATTCATTCCACAGTTTAGTTACTTTAACCATTCTATAGAGGTTCAAGCTGAAGAGTGAACTGAGTTAACTCTATTCTGAAACGAGTGACAAACTGATAGTTACCAAGATTAAGAGCTATAATGTATCGTAATGCATACTATTAACAATTGGTTGGGTAATAATGTATTAGGACGTGTGTGTGTTGTACATGTGAATATCACCCGTGTTAGGCCTAATAATTATTATTTCGCCGTGATATTGACTCCAAACAATGGCCGTAGACTTAATGTGATGTAGTTTACATTATTGACGTCATCCTTCTCGTCACAATTATCAAAAAAGCCCTCAATGTTATCGATATTACCAAATGCATCCTCATTCCTACTAGAATCATCAAGAGGTTGGAAGAGACAACATGGCGTCGAATGACAAAATGAACTGAATCGAATAGGCCCTATTGTTTACTTACTTATTTAATTTATTTATTTCATTTAAAAACCAAGACATTAAAAAACATCGCTGAATCGAATCTTACTCTACTGAATTTATTACTTCATTATCTCTAATTGCTCAATATGACTGTATCTATGTTCATTAGTATAATGCTATAAGGTTAACCAATTAACGTTCCTGAAAATCTTGTAGGAATCGAATATTCGACTAGGATCATAGTTGAACTTAAAAAAAGAACATCTAAGTTAATGCATTCATGAGATCGTTGACCAATGAAAAAGTTTTTTAAATGAATATGGTAACATTTCACTTAATGTAGTACCTTGTAATTGAAACTGGGGTTAAGCTCCATACCTATGAGCCCCGTGGCTCGGCAAGGATTTACTTACTAGTACCTTGCTGTATTGGTTGTCTTTTCATTTTATAACAAAAAGAGGCCTTCATAATTATTTTATTGTAAGAAGGGAGGGCAATCTGACAATATTGGTTGTTGTTCCTTTTTATTATATAGGCCTATAATAGGCCTATGTAAGATCTTAACATGTTTGTTTATGCAGACCTAGTTATAAATTCATTTGCTGCACTGTAGTTCATTACAAATCAAATCAATCGACACACATAAAATTTGAAGATTTCTCATAAGCGAAAAATACAGATTTAGAATTAGAAAAACCTTAAACAATATATAAACATAAAACTTAATCAATAAACGACATAACATTTTTCTCTTCGTTTTCTGATGTCCTTTTTTCGATTTATAATTTTATTTTTCCTCTCATTACTCTTCATATTAGTCCACGATGAATTTTATCGCTTTTAACATCAATTGCGAGAGCTGATATAAAATTATGTTGTATAAAGCTAGAGACAGAAACGCACGTGGCCGGTTATTAAAACAGTATGAACCGGATTGTAGCGTTATTATGACCTCCTTATAGGCAGGTGCAAAGCAACGATCGATCGCTGCGTCAATCGACTCAGTCTGCCATTTAAAACCATCTTTCGGGCTACAATTGACAAACCTTTGCATGCAATGGCCAAAATATAGGTTGTGTTCGTAGGAGGAAACTGTAAACGTCAAACGATAAGATGTACAAAAATTACAAATGTATATTTACTGTAAGATTTATGTCAACGTATGCAATCGTTTTATTTTCGTTTACGTTTATATTTATATTTATATATTTCTGTGAGACATACGTGGATCCTACTACATCAGATAATATATATATATATATATATATATATATATGTATGTATATATATGAGCGTAGATATTCATATAGACCTAAATTACAGTATTTTAAAGATAAAACATGCTCATATTCGTTAACATCTGACGTTAAAAACATTAGATTAATTTCAATGAATATTTCGATTACTTCACACATGAACATACTGAGGTTAATTTACAGTTGTACAGTAAGTACAGTACCAGAATATTTATCATAATTTGAGTTGATAGACCTACTGTACTGTTCAGTCCACATCGATAAAACATAAACCCTGTTACAGAATTTACATCTGCACAAATTCAACAACAAAAATACAAGGACCTTTTCCTTGACAATTTTTTCGTTCACTTTTTTTTTAAATAAGGTTCTATTTCAAAAGTATTGATTGTTTAAGCCACCATGGGCCTATTCCATCTCACAAAATTCTTAATTCCTTTCTTTCCAGGTCGCAGATTTATGTTTGCATTCTTACCATATGCAGTCAAAATTACCAACGACCTTAATCTTGACCCCTCAATAATCTCTGCTAATGATATTAAATAAAAAATGCAAACCCAAGAAACTTGACACTTCTATGATATGCTTTGTAAATATGAATGTGTTATTACTGTGTTAGCCATTACATTATGGTCATTAATTTGAAGTGGATTATACTAATAGCCCTCGATGACTTAAGGAGTAATACGCTTAATTTTGTTTTCTCTCTTTTGTGGGGTAACCTACATTTATTCAACATTGTTTTCTAGATTACATTTCTATACAATAAAATGATATCATGTAATTATAATGAAATTATTTTAAAAATTATATATAAAATTTTAAAAATTGTACAGTATTCATATTTTTTTTCTTTTGTTGATATCTATCTCAGCTTTAATTTATTGTTTTTATGTGGATTTACATTTAATTTCAATACAATATCACATGAATTGTTGCGAAATTACCATTAAAAGTTAAATCTTGATTCTATTCCGCAAAGAAAAAAAATGACTGTATAATGATTATGTCAGTATACAGTATGTGGTTAAATTCGTATATGTTGTTAAAATCGTAGGCCCTATTATCCAGGGCTCAAAAGAAAATCAGTTTTAACTGATTGGGTTTAACCTTACTATGTAAATCTAATAAATAAGTAAATAACTAAATGAATTTGTTTATAATAAAGATATGCATACTTCATTACCCCCAGGCCTATAATTGTGAAAACACTGAACCTTGCTCAGTGAGCCTACATTAAGTACACATTTAATCCTGTGAACGATCAGAAATGATATCAAAATCTGTACCTAATCCCACTTAACGTGAATGTTTTCACTAACAAGGTGAGGATGACATTGTCAGATATATTGTACACATATAGGCCTAGTATCAGTTGACTCACACAAGTCTTAAAATATTGTAGTACATCGTTTGTCAACTGACTAAATAGATACAATACAGGTATTGTTTTAATAATTCTTAAAAGTTGTCAATGAAATTAGGCCTACACCAAGTACGCTTACGTCATTGCCCCAGGCTTATTTTCAAAATACAAAATACAGCACAATTGGCCTATAGAATGTTAATAGTACTCATTCAGCGCTGTGAACGATCGGAAATGAAATCGAGTGAATAATCGGTACATACATAACAGGGATGTCCTCCCTAACAAGAAGGTGATAAAATTGTCAGATATATTAACTCTTTCAAACGATGGACACAGGCACAGAAATGAAAATCGTAAGAGATAAGTCCTTGGCTTTACTCGTCAAAGGATACCGACTCGCCGACAAAGGAAGAGGTGAATAGAATCTCTATTAATGATATGCACTGATTCGGAGCCCTCCTTCTACCAGTTTGTATTCAATATCGACAGGCTGAGCAATAATAACGAATGCGTTATAATATTGTTTATGTTAATTTATTATTTTGTTTATATTCGTTAAGTGTCTTTAACTGTTGCTTGACATTATTTGAAATATCTACTACTTAAGCCTAGTATATATACGATTCAGTAAATGCGTAGACATTTAGATAGGCTTACAAAGATACCGTATAGGCCTATAACGTAAGATGTTGTATATAAAATGTTTAATAAATAGGTCTAATATAATAATACAGTACATAGATTTGGTCTATCTATCTTTGTTATTAAGCTATGCAATAAGTTTCTTTAACTGTTGCGAATATGGACTACGGTCTGAAAAAAAAGTGAAATGAAAATTAATTTTGATATTAACTGACTTATCTTTATAATATAAAGCCGTATACTAAAGCGTTTTGCCTCTGTTTTTAACAATAATATCGCATCTTGTGATGTCTGTAAAAAGTATTTTACAACACAGTTAAAATAGGTCGACGTTTATATATCATAATTAAGTAACAATATCAGTAGTTTCACCTTCCTGAGAGTAGGCCTATTTCTTGATTCATGGGCGAAAATATAATGCATTCAACGAAAAACTAAAGCTAGGCCTATCTAGTATATTTTATGGTTTTTGTAAACAATAATATGCCATAAAGCCAGAAATTAATGATTTTTTTAAATAGGCCTATAATAGCTCCAATGATTAAGTTGGAAATACTACTAGGACATCATCAATGGTCTTACTGTTGTATATTAATCACTTACAATTGCATATAAACCCAACCAAAAATGAAATGCATTAAGGGTAACTTGTCCTATACCTCATCTGGATGCCATATGTATGGTACCGACAATGTGTTTTGATGATACTTATTTATGTAGGCCCTAGGCCTTT